TGTTTCTTCCAGTGATGATCTTTGCCTCTAGTACATGTTTTCCGAGCTTTTGTGAGAATCAATCTGGTTCCATTACATAACCTCGTCGGTTGGTTTATATTTCTCAACAGCATAATCGGGGCACCAACCTTTAGATGCAATTCACTCTCACGACACAAACCATTGTCTAAACTAATAATGCTATCTGAGCTGAGGTATGTGGCTTGGTCACCAGGAATCAAAGATAGCATGTAGTCATTTATTTGGCGAACCACATCTAAAGTAGGTGCAAGTATCGATCTTTCCTGCAGGTAAGTTGGATCGCTGAATCGTTCTTGCAGGTTAGGATAAGTGCTATTAATGATAGCTGCTAGGTAATTATCTTCCTCCTTGATAAGAAACTCATATGGGATCTCCACTTCAAAAACTCCATCTACTTGTAATTCAATATCACCATCCACAACCTTTAAAATCCAAGAACCAAACCTCTCAATGTCACTCTTTTCATCAGGAGCAGTTGAAAGTAATCTCATATTCTTCGTGAGACGCCGAAGTGAACAATCGCTCCAAAGATAAGAATAGTTGATGGTTGCCATCACCACATCGGCTCTTCCACCCTTTGGAATGACCGGTAAAATTGGCGGAAGTCTCCTCCGAGAACAACAACCTTCCCTCCAAACGGTCGATTTTCATTATCTAGATCGCTCAAGCTCATAATATCTTCCATATTATGTGTAACTTCTATATGAAAATTTTGGTGTATATATATTGTGTGTATATGTATAATGTTTCTTAGGCATGAATTGTGCAATTTCCATTACTGACCAAAGCACTGAAATGTTTGTTAATATCATAGTCTGTGACCTCTGTCTGTGTCTAAAAGATCACTACATTAGGTCTTGACACAATATTTAAGTGGGAATAGTATGGATAATGAATAGTTTAGAAAAATTAGAGGAGAAAGTGAAAAAGTAGAAAATAGAAGATAAAAAGTAGAAAAAGTAAGGTAATCGGATATTTTTAAGGAAAAAACTTACCAAAAATGAAACGTGTCGCAAAATTTTAAATACATTCCCAAATAGAAAAGTGTAGCAACCTTTTAAATACGGAAGGAGTATAATATATAATATATATTTCCTGAAATTATTCAGAATAACTCATGTTTCCTCAAAGTAGTTCGATGCACCATCTATATTTCCCATTAATCATGACAATAATGTTATTCTAAAAAAACGTTGTGGCGTGTCGTTCACTTAGCTTGAAATGACGAAGATAATATAGTGTTTCATTGCAAAGAAAATATTGATGTAGATATTTTACCATCGGAATTCGGAAACATCTGAAAGACTAAATCTCATAGCAAACACAAACTGATTTGGAGGATAGTTCAAAAGATAGAATTTGACTTTGGTAGCTTTACTCCCCGCAAAACACATGATACTATTGTGGCTCTAATTGCCACAATTCATGAATGTAGATTTTAGGTAAAATAATGTTTTGTGGCTAGAATTGTAATTGAATGAGATAAGAACTCTTATCTGCGTCCTAGAGTTCTAAACCTAATCCTTCTAAGTTGTTTGCCAGATTTTTGGACTATAACAAACTCAAGTGAAAAATACATTATGTAACCGATTAGATCAATTAAGTACTCATGCTGGAATGCATGACTTAAATAACTATTAAGATCAATGAAATTATAGGATATGGAGAGAATATCCTTATTATCTAACTCAGACACTTAAGTGGAATAAGTGAAGTTTAATTTAAACGTTGTTTATGACTTGTGGCTAAATACCTTCCACAGTTGACACCAACATAAAACACAATTTCTTTTGTAACCCTTACATTCAACTAATATATGATCAAAACAATTTATTAAATTTTTATAACTCAGTGTACTTTGGATAAAATCACCCTCCAAAATAGTGAGGATGTGAAATTGAAGTAGTAAGGATAATCAAAATAAAATAAAAATGATGATAAATGATTTACACATATATAAACTCTAGAGTATCTTTATATTATGGTAGTTTCATTTTCATATTGTCTATTTTTGCATGATCTAAACTTGTGGTTGCCAACCTTGTGGATCAATAAATACATGTAATTTATACCGTATGATTGGCATATCATGCATATGGTATGCCTGTCCAAATATGGTACAGTTTTCGGTAACAAACATCATTTAATTTCACACACTTGCACTTCCCCGTCCTGGAATGTTTCGTTCTTCATTTTTTTTACTTTTATTTGTTTCTTTATCAAAACTCTCTCCCTCCAGTAAACAACACACTCCCCCACCCTCATTTCTTTTTTTCTTTTTTCATTTTTTACTTTTAATGTTTTAATTATCAAAAGCTATCAATCCTATCATGTTTTCAAATGATTTTTTTAATATAGAAACACGGGAATGTATGTTTTACAATGTTGTGATAAATTTCCATCCTTTCAAAAACAAATTAATTACTTCTTTTTCTGTCTTAGTCCTTATTCATAAACTTTTTTTTTCTTCAACTGAAATTACAACAAAAAATTACTTATTTATTCTTCAAAATAAATATTTTTTATATTTATACACTTTTTTGTAATATACTCCGTATTTTTTATATTCATACATTTTCCCTATAATATACGACGTATTTCTTATCTCTCTTATACATTTTTAGTGTTCTTAAGACATTAAGTTTGGTTATTTTGATTTATATTTATAAAATATGAGAGAACGTTTTCATATGTGTGATTTATATTTTCACATGTGTGAGTTATGTTTATAGACAAATGTTTTTGGAAAAAAAATGAATTTTGCTTAAAACATTTTTATGGTCTTAATATTAAAAACAGAACATATTCTCTATTTACGTAAATTAATCGAGCAATTAGATTCCTTGTCTTCATTGTTTATATTTGATAGTAATGAAGTTATATTTTCTTATGCGCGAGTTACAACTGTTTATGCATGAGTTATATCTTAATGTACGTGAGTTACACCAAGAAATAAGCTATAATAATGATCAAGAAATGATTTTTTAACTTCATCATTTTTTATAGCCCTAATATTAAGAAAACATATTCATATCACTATTTACAAAAAGTAATTAGGCAAATAGGGATCAATTTTTCATTGTTTACATTGAATTTTTGTTTGTTTACATATATGTATGTATGTATATATATGATGTTTACATTTCAACTTTCCTAGAATTACATTTAAATGTACTCGAGTTACATCTTAATGTGCGCGAGTTACACCATTAAATAGATCTTGCTAATGATATTTTTTTTACTAAATGATTTTTTATAGCCCTAATATAAAAAATTCAAAACATATTCACTATGTATAAAAGAGTTAATTATGCATATAGAACTAAAAGTCGGTCTGTTTAGGATAAAAAATAAACTATGTTTCACAAGACTAATTATGTGTGTCTTGGACACATATACCCTTGTAGCTATTAATGTTTTAATTCAAAATAAAATAATAAAAATAACAATTCGTAAAAATAATAAAAAAATAAAACTATTTATATAATACTCCCTCCGTCCCATTTTACCTGTCCTACTTTCCTTTTGTGTTGTCACAAAATAAGTGTTTCCTTTTCTTTTTGGAAAGAAATATGTCGTACACATCATTTCGCTTTATTATACTCAAACATCAATAATAACTTTTACTTTTGCAACTACTTCATTAATATTCATGCCAAGTCAAATTAAGACACATAAAATGGGACGAAGGTAGTAATGTTTTTTACATAAAATTAAAAAAATTGTTTTAAAAAATAAAAAGTGCCAAAAATTTGTCTTACTCATCTGAATATTTTTGATCTGATATGAATCTTTTTTATCTGATTTGACATCCTTATGATCTGATCTGAATCGTTCTGATCTGAATATGTATGATGGGGTTGAGTGTTTATTATTACTATTACTATTATTATTATTATTATTATTACTATTATTAAATAATTAATAATAATAATAATGAAGTTTATCCTTTGAATAATTTATAGTATTTTTTCGAAAAGTTATTAAAAATTTATCTGATAATGAAGTTTATCTTCTAAATGTGATGTTGAGACATTTTTGGATGGCACATGCACAACTATCTAGTTGGAGTTGTTACGGATTAACTGTTTTTTTTAAATAGTTACGGATTAATCCTAATCTACACTACTTTAGATTACAAATAATATAATTATAGAATCCGCTCCAAATAAATTTACATTATGAATAATTTTGGGCAAAATCTGAAAATTAGCAATTTCATTAATTGTACTCAATTGCAATTTAAGTACAAATCAATTTCAATTGAAGTGACTCTACTTTATTAGTACTAAAGTAGATAGTATTTTCTTTACTATCTAAATTTTTCTGATGTCTTCATCAAGAAGAGGTCCTAATTGGAGTGTTATTGAGGATGTTGCTCTATGCAACGCTTGGGTATCCATATCCGAAGATGGTACCATTGGCATAAATCAACCTGGGGAGAGTTTTTGGGGCCGAATTCACGTATCATTTTCGCAAAAATGTAACGTTCCAATGTGAAAAGAGAATCCAATGTGATTTGAAAAGATACAACAAGTTGAGAAGGGAATCCAATGTGTTATGGATAGACACAAAGTTGAGAAGAGAATCCAATGCTCCAATGTGTTTGAAATAACTCAACAAAAAACGTAAAAAAAAAAGTATTAATGAAATTTAGTTTTTTTTACATCGAAATATGTCTTTTTTATTTTATAATTAATCAGAGAAAAAATTAAAAGGAAAACATTACTAATAATAATTTAATTAATGTTTTACTAAATTGATATGTAAAAAAATGTGCAGAGTGTATTTTATTGACGGTGCTGGAATACAGAGAATAAGAGTCAAAACACTATTTTCATATCGACGGAGTCCATTTTTGACATTTAGACTCGTGTAGTAGAAACGAAAAGGAGAGAACGCACACGCACGGACAAAAGAAAAGGAGAGAACGCAAAACACTCTAATTATCATCCTTAATGTTGCAATTATTTACAAAAAAAAACAGGATGTACGGTGTGGATGGTACATGCCGGTGGTGTACCATATACATAGAAATAATTTGGTTGCTAGTGTAGCACCATGTCGGTTGCAGCACAGAGCACGTACAGATATGTGGCGTCTTTCCTCTCCACCTTCATCACCGACACCTCCTCCTGCCTCCTCCTCCATGAATCGCCTCTTCAAGAGCCCGGCGACGCTGACCCGGTGTTTGTCGGGTGGCCTGAGCCCACCCGACAAGTTGCGGTTCACTCGTCAGCTCTTCCGAGCAGAGTCGCCGGAAACAATGCTCAAGTGCTCCGCGAATTATGCTCCTCTGACGCCCATAAGTTTCCTGGAAAGAGCTGCAAATGTGTACACAGAAGGGACTTCGGTCGTGTACGCAGGTTGTGTCAAGTACACATGGGAGCAGACCCATCGGAGGTGTCTCAAACTTGCTTCTGCTCTCACCCGATTGGGCATTTCTCATGGAGACGTGGTCAAAACCTTTCTACTGCATTATGTTTTGCATGATTCTATTTTCTTGTTTTTTGTTTTCTTTTGTGTTAGTCTTCAACTTCTGATCTCAAGTTCTAGCTAGGGATCCATTTTCTGGCCAGAAAATAATTACCTGCTAAGATTTCTTGATGCAAAATGTTTCTTCTTGGAAAAGTGTTTTTTTTTTAAAAAAAAAAGTTGTTGTATGTCTAAATAGACCGAGGAAATAAAGAATCATGGCTGAATGAAGCTATCATTTTTAAAATCCTAATTTAACTAAAGTTAACACACTTCTTTTAGCTTGGTACACGAAACATTAGTTTTGTAGGTACAATTAATCAGACTAAAGAATAAAGAATGTCCAAATCAAGATTTTTTTTGGACGCATTAGGTATAATGTTTTATGTAGTTATTATTTACATAAACAAAGAAAACGAAACTACTTCAAGATGAATGACTTCCTATTCACAAAGGTTCAAAGAATGTTTCTTTACTGCCAAGCACAAAATAAATCTGTACACATGTTCTGGATAAATGCTTTCTAGTTGTAAAAAGCAGCAGCTTAGAATTGTATGTTTTGCAATGTTGCACTAATTGATAGAGGGGTCAAATACATTCCTGCATGATTAATTACTTATTCATCAGTACTGTGATGCTTTTATGTCAACAAATTGGATCGAATTCTTGGAGCTAATTAATTAGTTCAATGCCTGTTTTTTTAAATTACGTACAGGTTGCCACACTGGCACCTAATGTACCAGCAATGCAAGAGCTGCACTTTGCGGTGCCAATGGCTGGAGCAGTCCTTTGTACATTAAACACTCGCCTTGATTCATCCATGGTGTCCACACTTTTGGCACATTCAGAAGCTAAGGTCCTTTTTGTACACTGTCACCTTTTCCCGATCGCTCTAGGAGCAGTCAATCTTCTAATAGGCAGCAAAACCAATCCCCCACTTCTTGTTTTGGTAATGGAGCCCGGAGAAGGCACAGTTTCCGATTCCCGTGTGCCCGATCACCATGAGTACGAGGCAATCTTGGAGAGCGGGGATTCGGGTTTCGGGATCCGGTGGCCGAGAAATGAGTGGGACCCGATTTGCATCAACTACACTTCTGGCACGACATCAAGGCCAAAGGGTGTTGTTTATAACCATAGAGGTGCATACCTTAACACCATTGGCACCCTGTTTGTTCACGAGATGAATTTTATGCCAACTTATCTTTGGACGGTCCCCATGTTCCACTGTAACGGGTGGAACATGGTTTGGGGCATGGCGGCTTTGGGTGGCACCAACGTGTGCCTTAGGCGTTTCGGTCCCAAAGACATATTTGACAACATTGCCCTCCACAAGGTCACTCACATGGGAGCCGCACCGACTGTGTTGAACATGATTGTCAACTCATCACCAGCCGACCGGAAACCGCTCCCCCACGCCGTTAAGGTCATGACGGGTGGTTCACCGCCGCCTCCACAGCTCCTTTCCAAAATGGAAGAGATGGGTTTCGGTTTGATTCACATCTATGGGCTGACCGAGACTTACGGTCCGAGCACATTTTGCATGGAGAAGCCGGAGTGGGATTCTCTGCCTCCTGAAGAAAGACAAAAGATGAAAGCAAGACAAGGGGTGGCCCACTTTGGTTTGCGGGACGTCGATGTAAGACACCCCGCCACTACAGAAAGCGTTCCGGCGGACGGCAAGACCATGGGGGAAGTGATGTTTAGAGGGAACACTGTTATGTGTGGGTATCTGAAGGACCCAAAAGCCACAGAAGAGGCATTCAGGGGTGGGTGGTTCAGAAGTGGTGATTTGGGAGTAAAACATCCGGACGGGTATATACAAGTTAAAGACAGGTCTAAGGACATCATAATATCTGGGGGAGAGAACATATGCAGCGTGGAAGTGGAGGCCGTTTTGTATGGTCATCCCGGGGTGCTTGAAGTGGGAGTGGTTGGGAGACCGGACAGGCATTGGGGAGAGACGGCTTGTGCCTTTGTGAAACTGAAAGAGGGGTTCGAAGCTGATGGGAATGAGCTGATTGGTTTCTGTAGGGAACGGTTGCCTCATTATATGGCCCCTCGCTCGGTTGTGTTTGGGGATTTGCCCAAGACATCCACCGGAAAGATACAAAAGTTTGTGTTGAGGGACAAAGCCAAGGCATTGGGCAGTCTTTTCTGATTCCACTTTGTGATGCCCACCCACATACTCCATCTCTTCTCATCTATTTGTTCCTCATCCCCATTTGCCATGGTCCAAAATGTTTCATGGTCCTATTTAAGCTTTTCCCATCAAATAAAAAATTTAAGCTTGGTCATAGAACAACACCGAGTCTATGTTCATGGTGCTACTGATTCTTTATTTATGTTGCCTAAAAAATCTATAGTTATAATAGTAAAGCTCAGTTTTTAGTTGCTGATTTGTCAACCTCTCATTGGCTAGAAGAAAATTAATTAACTCAATTTCATTTTAAAACAATCCTATTATCTTCTGCCGATCTGTTCAACAAATTGCGGTCTGCCAGAGTTATTGATTACGCCACTCGGTTCAGCAAAAGTCTATCAACAACTTATCCCTCAAAAAAAACTTATCAACTCATTAATAGCACCGAGAGTCCGAGAGTATTGAAACTGAAGTCAATGATTGCATGTTGATAAGTACATTAATTAATGACTGCATACATTAATTAAAGATCACATATTGATAAATTCATGAATACATTAAATAATGACTGCATGTTGATAATTCCATTATATATTAACGCTGGAAACATCTGGTCAAAAAATAAAACGCTGGAAACATATTTTAATGATTACATATTAATAAAATTACGAATGTGATAAAAAGTAGGACTCTATATCAATAAAATTTAATGACTGCATATTGATAAATTCATAAATACATTATATATTAACGATGGAAACATCTGGTAAAAAAACGCTGGAAACATATTTTAATGATTACATATTAATAAAATTACGAATGTGATAAAAAGTAGGACTCTATGTTGATAATGATAAAATTTAATTAATACGTACGTAGCAGGTATACTCCTAGAACTAGAACATATCCGATAAATGACAATAGACTCCCAACTCTTCCATGCTCCATCACCGGCCATGCTCCATCAACAGCCCTATATAATAAACTATTCCAACAAAAATCATATCGATCTAAAGCACAAAATTATATTGCGTAAATACAAAAAAAAATATGGTTGTTTCTCAGCCGTCTCAAATGGTGCAATATGATTGCATCGAAGAGATCTCGACTAAAAAGCAAAGTTGTTCTTTGCGTGCAAGGTTGGTCACTCATTGGGACAATGTTCATAAGCAATATCCAAGTCAGCTTATTTCTTACGAACTACTTCTAAGTGACGAAAAGGTATGTTAAAGTTGAGTTTTCCCCGATATACTCAACTTATTTTTCAATGCTTTGTTTCAGATTTAAATAGTAGTTCAATCTTTTTTTTTCAGGGACATTACATACAATGCAGCATACCAGCAAATCTTTTTAATGTCTCATTCCGAAAGACGTTTTATGATAAACGATGTTATAATATCAAAGAAGCTGATATAAGGCGCAATATACACGGCTTTCGTTTGTGCAACCATACTTTTAAGCTTCTATTCACTAAATTGACAACTGTGGAAGAAATCCACAATTTTAAAACATCTCCTTTTAATATTCCATGTGCTGCATTTGATGACATTTTATTAAAAAAATGTGACACGAGTCACTCAATTAATATAATGGGGGAAGTCATTGACGGCGGGATGATGCAAACAGTTAATATGAAGATAGGAGGTACAAAAAATAGGTTGAAATTATACCTCGCAGACGAAGAGTAAGTATATTTTAAATATATTTAATTTTATATAAAGTTGTTCCATTTACCATTCAATTGTGTATATTTTATTCTGTCATGCTCATACTTCATTCGCCAATTAAAAGGGGGTCCAAGATTGTCTGTTATTTGTGGGATAGATTTGGTGAAGAAGTAGATAACAGACTCAAACAACATAAAGAATCAAAAAAGGAATTTCCTTTTGTGATTCGTTTATGCTTTGGAGCAATTAATGAGTGGCAAGGTATTCATTAACCATCGTTATTAGATTCATCGTTATTAGATTAATGAGTGGCAAGGTATTCGTTAACAATGCATGCACTTATATTCAAGAGAGTGAGGCTCAAGATAAAGCACTTCAAAAGATTGAAGAAATTCTGGAGCGTAACGGAAGAACATTGAACGATTTTGAAGGGATGCCTTCCGTAGAACATATGGACGGTGGAAGAGGTTTTGATGCTTTAGTACAGGAAGAAATGCAGTATGATAGGGAAGAATTGTCTACCCAACTTATGCGGTTACTTCCATCGTTAACAAGTGAACAGAAACAAATTTATGATTGTGTCATTGATGCAATCTCCGCAGAGAAAGGAGGTAAGAGAAGTAATGAAAATGAAACCTTATTTAATTGCCAAAATAGGACTAAATGAAACATTAATTGCCAACATACTTCTATAACTTAAAAAATCCCTAAACTGGCCTAGCTTTCCAATTGTACCCTTGCTTTCTTTTAATACAATTCATATTTCATTAATAATTAGAACATAAAAGTATTAACATAACTTTATTTATAATAAAGATGTAGAAAAAAAACACAAAATAAACATTAAATAAAATTAATAAACCTAATAAAATCGAAAAAAATATAAAATAGAATACTTAAAAATGAAAATAAAAAAGTATTTTTTATATTTTTAATGTGTTTTATCTATTTTGTTTTTTAAAAGTGTTTTTTTTAAATAATGTGCTGTCATTTTTCTATTTTTAATTTTTTTTTACTTTGTATTCCAATTTTTTTGTATTAGTTCTTAGTTGTTTATGTCCGATTTTTTGTATTATTTAAATTTTTAGTTGCTGAATTTTATGATTACTACAAATTACAATATGAATATCACATTGAGTTATGATAATGGTAGAATATATTACGAAGATTTTTTTATAATGTAATTCTATTTTGGTAAGATAAATAACATAGTCATATTTGCGTATTTAGGGATTACTTTACGGTTATTGTGTCTACTTCTACTACATTAACATCTAAGTTTCACTATTTATACATTGTCCTTTATATTTACACATCAGGTGTGTATTTTGTTCATGGCTTTGGTGGGTCTGGGAAAACATTCTTATGGAATACACTAGCAGCATCTGTGAGGAGCAGAGGAGAAGTTTTACTTACAGTTGCTTCAAGTGGCATCGCGTCATTACTGCTTCCCGGTGGTAGAACCTCTCATTCAAGGTTTTCGATCCCTCTGAATATAGCTGAAAATTCAACATGTAATATTAAGCGAGGGAGTTCGAAATCAAGGTTATTAATAGCTACAAAATTGATCATCTGGGATGAAGCGCCAATGACTCACAAATATTGTTTTGAAGCTCTTGACAAGACGCTAAGAGATATTTGCTCAGTAGTAAATCCAAAGAATGAAGAACTGCCCTTTGGTGGAAAGATCGTTGTTCTTGGAGGAGATTTTAGACAGACACTTCCAGTAATCCCTAAGGGCACGCGTGAGGAAATTGTCATGGCTGCAATAAATTCATCATACTTATGGGATTTTGTTCAAGTCATGCGTCTGACAATAAATATGAGGTTGCTGCAGCAAAGCAACATTATTGATAAGCAAGAACTTGAACAATTTGCTAAGTGGATATTACAAATTGGCGAGGGCACTATCGGCAGAGAATCTGACAGAGGCATTGAAGTTGAAATACCCCATGATTTGTTGATCCACTCGAATGGGGATCACTTTAAAGCCATTGTTGACAGTACTTATCCAGACTTGCACAACAATCTATCAAATTTTGATTACTTGGACGAGAGGGCGATCCTGGCACCTACTTTGGAAATAGTAGAGGGTATAAACAACTATATCCTTTCAATGCTACCCGGAGAAGAAGTCAAATATTTTAGCTACGATAGTATTTGTCCTACTGCAGCAAGTAGTTCCAGTTATGATGACATATATGCTCAAGAGTATTTAAATAGTATTTCAATATCTGGTTTGCCAAATCATGTGCTAAGCCTCAAAATTGGTGTCCCTGTAATGTTATTGCGCAACATCGATCAATCAGCAGGTTTATGCAATGGAACACGAGTTGTGATAACACAATTGGGGAAACGAGTCTTGGAAGCCAAAGTCCTCACTGGACCTAGCAAAGGGAATAAAATTCTGATTCCAAGAATGAATCTATGCCCAACAGATACAACATTGCACATAAAGCTTCAGAGGAAACAATTCCCAGTTTTAGTATGCTTTGCTATGACCATCAACAAAAGCCAGGGGCAAACATTAGCACATGTTGGACTATATTTGGAAAAAGGGGTATTCACGCATGGACAACTATATGTGGCTGTTTCAAGAGTGACCAGTAGAAATGGGTTGAAAATTTTGTTGGGTGGAGAAGGATGCAATACAACAACAAATGTTGTTTACAAAGAAGTCTTCCAAAATGTGTAATTGTTTTAAGGCACATGAGTAATATGTAGCACATTAATATTTTTCACTTCACTCTACCTTTTTTTATTTGCATACTATGAACTTTTTTTCAAGATATGTGCTAATAAAAAAATGATAAGTAAAACTGAAATAATAATAATAAATCAGACACACATCAATCCTTTAAAATCCTCTTTCTCATTTGTAAACAAACTATTAGTAAACATAATACGGAGTAATAATTTTGTCAATAAAAAAAGTTATTAACAAGTTCTTTACAAATATATTGCGCAATCTTTAATACTACGTAAAACACTATTTTTATTCACATTAACATGACACTACCGGGGCATGCCCCGGGTGTTACACTAGTACTACGTAAAAAAAAGATACTGGCTGGTACTTCAATAGTGAAATGACTATTGTAGTGTTGGATGAATGGATGTGACCATATAGTTATTTTTTAGGACTAGATAATTCCGACTTTAACAAATTAATTCTGATTCTCAAAAACTACCCAACCCAAGGGATGTAAATTTGAATAGGCTATTTTAACGTGGAAACCCGAAATGGTGAAAATCACGGGACTTTTTGGGCTAATGTTCAAACCACTCTCATTCTCATTAGACTCTCCTCACAAATAAAATATTCAAGTGTTAGCCTTGGAAGCCATTCATGAATCATGAAGCTCTCAAGCTTTTATAGAGAGAAGTAACTATAGGGAAGAAGAAGAAGAGGATCCCTCAAATTGGAGGGAAAACCTCCTTTAAATAGGAAAAGGGGAGGGGTTGCAAAGCTACCCTGATTGGCCAAATATAATAATTCCTTAATATTTGGTTTAATTGTCTACAAGTATCTCATGAGGTGTAAGGTCTGAAGTAATAATAACAAGTTCTCAAAAATAAATAAAGGGAAAATTA